AAGGTAGTTTGGGATATGAAAAATAGTTATCAAATGATGCACTAGTTTCGGGACAAGATTGGGCGTGCAAGTTCGTGACTTTTCGGCTTGTTTCAACTATTTCACGAAATGAGACCGGACTACTTCGTGATATCTTGAGATCACTTCTAGTTTAGTCTTAAATTACTAGAGGAATAAATAGAGGATATTTTGTGGCCGCGCAGAGACACGAAATTTCTCTTCGAGTGTTGAAAAACATTTCACGAGTGAGCCCTCCTTTCGAACTGTTTTATGATGAATTTAAAGTTACAAAATGTTGCAAAAAGACATTTTGTCTTTGTTGAGTGTTACGTAGTAAAATTGCTTTCATGCGTTGCGTGACTTTCTCGAACGTTCTCTACGTTTTTGGATTATTCAACTAGGGCATGTTTACATTTCAGCATGAGTCAGCAGATTTGCATCAGTTACTGAAATCATAAAATATGTCGAAAAGCTACTACTATTCGCCTGCTGTTTAGTACTTTCTAGAACTTTATGTCAAACGGTATACAAGTTCCAAGCGAGTTCTTTTGAAGAACTAAGTTTTTTTCCCACGAGCTGGACTGCTGTGTTTAGTCAAGTGTGACGAAGGTCGATTTTCAGGTATTGTGTTTACAAGTTCGCGGAAGCCGTAAGATATCTGAAGTTCAAGTGAGAGTTTGTTATTATCGGTAGAGGCTGTTTAGTTTTACTCAAAGTTCAAGTCAAGTTTGTGTTGGTGGATGCTGTGTTTTAAAGCTCTGTAAAGGCTATGTTCCTTTGGTGTTAAACTTCCTTGTGTTAATCCGACATCTCTGCGTGCTGATAGTCAGTGAATAATTATCCTCAAAACATTCGGACTCGTGACTTTGAGTTTTAGCCAATTCCATGCTCAACGTAATTGACTCCTTACCCATGCCTTACATATCTTTAATCAGTACATGAGACTGCTATGCTGTTTTTGAAGCTTGATGTGACTAAGAAAAATAGAGCATTGTTTTTTTAGAAGGATTTGTATGGAGTCATCAGAGCATAACTGGGCTAATATCTCCGAGACAATTTGCCCCGAAATGCTAGTTTTTGGCAAGTAGGCCTCTTGGATGTTGCTCTTTTCAGAATATCCTGACAAATCCCATAATTTCACAAATTAACACCTTACTCTTACCATATTTGATTTCTTACTATTCCTCCGCATTTACAATTAATTAGTTCCACAACCAGCTCCGTAGCGTCTTGTTCGTTCTAGAATATCGTAAGAGATATTTTCCTGGCCTATATTGCCTAAAAAAAAAAGTTGGAAAAATGGCAATTTTTGGACAAAAACCATGGGTTAACCCCTTTGGAAAAATGTCAATTTTTCGACTTTTTCAACTTCTTGTTTTTATAGCCTAGAAAGGCGTTTTTTCGTTCCAGCATATAGTAAAAGATTTGCCTGGCCTATATTGCCTGAAAAAACAATGTTTGAAAAATGGCAACTTTTGGACCAAAGCCAATGTTAACCCCTTTGGAAAAATGTCAATTTTTCGACTTTCTGAACTTTTTGTTTTTATAGCCTAGAAAAACAAAGTTGTTAAAATGGCCATTTCGGGACCAAAACCATGGGTTAACCCCTTTGGAAAAATGTCAATTTTTCGACTTTTTCAACTTCGTTTTTTTATAGCCTAGAAAGCCGTTTTTTCGTTCTAGAATATGGTAAAAGATATTTTCCTGGCCTATATTAAATTTAAAAAAAAGTTGGAAAATTGGCCATTTTTGGACAAAACCATGGGTTAACCCGTTTGGAAAAATCTCAATTTTTCGACTTTTTCAACTTCTTGTTTCTATAGCCTCGAAAGGCATTTTTTCGTTCTAGAATATCGCAAAAGACATTTGCCTGGCCGATATTGCCTAAAAAAAAAAAGTTGAAAAAATGGTCATTTCTGGACCAAAACCATGGGTCAACCCCTTTGGAAAAATGTGAATTTTTCGACTTTTTCAACTTTTATAGCCTAGACAGTTTTTTTTTGGTCTAGAATACCGTAAAAGACAGTTGCCTGGCCTATATTGCCTAAAAAAAAAGTTGGAAAAATGGCCATTTTTGGACCAAAACCATGGGTTAACCCCTTTGGAAAAATGTTAATTTTTCGACTTTTTTAACTTCTTGTTTTTATAGCCTAGAAAGGCGTTTTTTCGTTGTAGAATATCGTAAAAGACTTTTGCTTGGCCTATATTGCCTGAAAAAACAAAATTGGAAAAATGGCCATTTTTGGACCAAAACGATTGGTTAACCCCTTTGGAAAAATGTCCATTTTTCGACTTTTTAAAGTTCTTGTTTTTATAGCCTAGACAGTCGTTTTTTTGGTCTTGAATTTCGTAAAAGACCGTTGCCTGGCCTATATTGCCTGAAAAAAGAAAGTTGGAAAAATGGCCATTTTTGGACCAAAACCATGGGTTAACCCCTTTGGAAAAATGTCAATTTTTCGACTTTTTCAACTTCTTGTTTTTATAGCCTAGAAAGGCGTTTCTTCGTTCTAGAATATCGTAAAAGACATTTGCCTGGCCTATATTGCCTAAAAAAACAAATTTGGAAAAATGGCTATTTTTGGACTAAAACCATGGGTTAACCCCTTTGAAAAAATGTCAATTTTTCGACTTGTGGAACTTCGTGTTTTTATAGCTTAGAAAGGCGTTTTTTTGTTCTAGGATATAGTAAAAGACATTTGCCTGGCCTATATTGCCTGAAAAAACAAAGTTGGAAAAATGGCCATTTTTGGACCAAAACCATGGTTAACCCCTTTGGAAAAATATCAATTTTTCGACTTTTTGAACTTCGTGTTTTTATAGCCTAGAAAGGCGTTTTTTCGTTCTAGAATATCGTAAAAGACATTTGCCTGGCCTATATTGCCTGAAAAAACAAAGTTGGAAAAATGGCCATTTTTGGAAAAAAACCATGGGTTAACTCCTTTGGAAAAATGTCAATTTTTCGACTTTTTTACCTTCTTGTTTTTATAGCCTACAAAGGCGTTTTTTTGTTCTAGGATATCGTAAAAGACATTTGCCTGGCGTATATTGCCTGAAAAACAAAGTTGGAAAAATGGCCATTTTTGGACCAAAACCATGGGTTAACCCCTTTGGAAAAATGTCAATTTTTCGACTTTTTAAACTTCTTTTTTTTATAGCCTAGAAAGTCGTTTTTTTGTTCTAGATCATCGTGAAAAAGATTTGCCTGGCCTATATTGCCTGAAGAAACAATGTTTGAAAAATGGCAACTTTTGGACCAAAGCCAATGTTAACCCCTTTGGAAAAATGTCAATTTTTCGACTTTCTGAACTTTTTGTTTTTATAGTCTAGAAAGGCGTTTTTTCGTTCTAGAATACCGTAAAAGAGATTTTCCCCGCCTATATTGCCAAAAAAACAAAGTTCGAAAAATGGCCATTTTTGGAGCAAAACCATGGGTTAACCCTTTTGGAAAAATGTCAAGTTTTTGACTATTTAAAGTTCTTGTGTAAAAATTTCGATTTTTTGACAAAAACCTTGGACTGAACCCTTTGGAAAATTTCTCTTTTTTTGAAATTTTTAAAATCTCACTTTTCTGGTCTAGAACGCATTCATTTCTATCCAGAATATAAAAAAAACATCTTCTGTGGCTTGAGTTGCCCCCAAAACACAGATGGTGAAAAGTTCAATTTTTTGACAAAAACCATGGAGGAACCCCGTTGGAAGATTTCGATTTTTTGGAATTTTTTGAAACTTTACTCTTCTGGTATAAAAAGCATTCTTTTCTATCCAGAGTATCAGAAAACGATGTCTTCTGGCTTTATTAGCCCGAAATTACACTATGCTAAGGACTAGAGTATTAAGTAATGATCCGGGTAAGGCGAATAGGAATTTCTTTTGTTATGCGGCAACGGTGCTTTCCCCACATAGAAATGTTCTCATTTTTACACAGAGAATGCATAAACCTACATGAAGGCCGTTTATGCAATAAAATGCATTTACACTCCACTTTGAAAGGGTGTTTTTTGTGTCAAAAGATTTTGAGCAATCACAAGAGTTGAAAACAATAGCCAAGAAAAGTTTACAATTTTACATGTTCCCCACATAGGATTTCTTTGTTATTCAAACTGAGACCAGATTTTGTTACATGGAAGATGGTTGGAAAGTAAGGATGAATATATTAACCGCTTAATGAAGATTTGTGAAATTTTGCTGTTTAAGCCAATCAGAAGTAAGTACAGACAATAGAAAAGTTAGCACGGTTTTTGCATTCCAACATGTTCGTTGCCGTTGATGCTATCGTTCTTATCTGGACCGTTTCTTAATTTAATCAACCAGTTAGGAAAATTTTGTTTTTTTTGGACTTAATTTTGACTATACTTTGCCCAACGATAATCAATGTAAATACTTTTCAGTTTCGCAATAATAATGGGTTGGCCATAGGGTCTCAGCTATGTCTCCTACTCTTTTAGAACAGTGGTGTTTGAACCCACTACCTCCAGCTCAGTAAACATACTTTCTCCCAACTACGTTAACCAGGTGGCGGTTACTGAACGGGTGTAACGGAGAAGAAGAAAGGAAGAATGGCAAAGGTAAACAAGCATTTGAAAACCATAATTGACAATTAATGGGAACAAAACATAACTGACCCCCTAACCCTGTCAGTAATTCACTCAGGGTTGTCGCTAAGATTTCAAGTTGCCGCGTAGATACAACAAGTAGGCGGGAAATCAATCAGCTAGGGATTGCGTTTGGTTCTATTTTTCTTCTATTTTCCTATGAAAGTAGCCGGGGCCCACGTTCATAATAGCCGGGGGAAATCCCCGGCCCCCGCCTTTTAATGACAGCCCTATCACTACCTATTGTTTGCCCTGTTCCCATATTTCATTTTCCCATGATTCTCCGTGCACAAAGCCCATTGCACCTATCCTATCGACCGTTTTAGTAAAAATGTTAAAACCTAGGCTACAGAATAATACAAACAAATAAATTGTGAGTAAAAACATCATTCACCATGTTTTATTCATCCAGGGTATTGTGAATAGGTTCTTTACATACTTTGCAATCGTTTTGAACTTATCAAAGCATACAAACGTTTTCGGGCGTACTTCAGTTCCTGAATATTTGAGAATGTCTTTCATGAATTTCTATATTTGTGTTTTGAGGGAACTGACTGCTAAGGATTGTGAAAACGAACCTCATGCATAACAGTCTTACTGAGACCATTATTTCAGATCCAGGATCCAGAAACTATACTGGTATCAAGTTTGAAGCTTCAAGATTTTTGCATGTATTACATATTATATGTATATTCTAATTTTTTGCCACAGTGAAAACAAAGTACAAAGTCACTGGGACCATGGCCGAATTCGGGTATGGGTCTACTTGAAAAAAGAAGGTGCATTCACATAAGAGTCCAGGAACAAAGTTCTCAGGTCTCATGTGAGGACACCTAGCGTGAACACTGCCGTTAGGGGACTTTAACGCTTTAAGTCCCAATGGTGACCAACATCAATTTTCTCCTAACGATATCCATACAGTGTCAACAGATTAGGTTATCAGAATCAATAAAATGATCACCAAAGACGAAATGCCTCTTTTATCAAATTCTCTTAACATATTCTATGAGGAAATGTATAGAGAATTTGTATGTGGATGTTGTGGCTTAAACGGTTTATAAAGTTTATGCATCTCAGGCTGGGAGACGAATAAACAACATACAGTAAAATCTTTAACTTACCAGGACAGTCAGAAATCACATTAAAATATAATCACCTTAATTACTTTCAACGAAATCACTTTATAGTGTCCATAACTGATGATAATGTCCTTTAGTTAATTCAGTGCTGGTTTGGTTGCTATAATGCGACATCCCCCAGTGAGTCCTTTCTCAAATACACTTTTCACCGCTGTGTAGAAATACTGCAAACTATCAAATGCATCTTGGCCAATGACTCGAACATGACGATCTTTTTTTTCGCTGAAATCCACGTGTCGTTTTGAAACGAAGGACAGGAACATTGCGGTTTGATCTTCAAACTGAGTATAAACAAAAAAAAGTTTGAGCATACAGTAGAACCTCCACGAACAGCCACCTCCACAAACGACCACTATTTTGTCGGACTGCAGACAGTCCATACATTGAATTTTGTTTAAACATCCCTACTTGGCAACAGCCACTAAGGCCCATCCCCAACTGTCAGAATAACCTCCCCACAGTGACTTAGCGACTGATGAAACATTCAAGAATGGTTATTCACATTCATCCGTAAGGGACTTGTATTTGGATTGCGTTCCACTTTTACTACTGCAGAAACATTATTCAATTATTTTGTGTATATTTATCTATACATTATAACTATAACAGGGATTAGGCTACTTACTATTTACGTGGAAAAACCGGGCATTCTGGTTGGAAAATCAAATGGTTTGCCCCATTCCGTTTGAGAAGCTTAAGCAAAAATAGGCTGTGATTTTAGACAATGCAATTTTTCTACTCATTTTAGTCTGTTCAGTTGATTTGGATACTACTTTGTAAAGGTACGTTCTCCCATGCGGATGGTTTGTGTGAATAGTAACCAACCTAGATTACCATCATGGGATACACATAGCATGAAATTAACACACTAAACATATTGTCCTCCCTACCTCCCCATAACAGCTGGGTAAACTGACTCAGGATGTACCGAACCATGAGGCACTGGGAATAAGAAGGAGTCAGAATGGTTGAATGGAACAGTCATTTTTCGATCAGACTGGTCCGACCGAGAAAAGTGGTCCACATTTTGTTTCTTCAAAACTTTTCTGGTTGGACCGAACTGATCCATTGAGTTTTGGACTGAAATTTCCGGAAAAATTGGTTGAGTGGATCATGCCCCTGTACTGAATGTGTCATTACAGACTGAATTTGACCTCACTCAGTCCTATTAGCATTATTAGTGAGTTAACACAACAGATTGGCAGAAACTAGACATTTACACAAGTGTGTGACAAACGTGACAGGGCTATGACTTGCATGTTTTGGTCCATGACCTTCACTTAACATTAATGTTTCCTGGTCTTTTGCAAAAACGTCTGTTTAAACGAAGGTTAAGTCTGGGTCAACGTATTGCCGACTTCTTTCCTTTACCATCCGGTTGTGTAAATTCACTATTACTCAAATAGAAACTTTTTTGTGAGACCAACCTGAATATCCGAGAAACCTGCAGCCTTCAGAAGGTTAATATAAACATCTTTTTCGGGAAGATTGTTCATATATAAGTCATGATTATATGTTCTTTTGTCCTCTTCACTTAAAGTCACACCCTTCAGCTGGAAAAAGTCTTCAATAAAACTAAAACAAAACAAAGTACAAGTCCAGAGTTAAACACTTTAAGACTCATTTTAGGCTTGCTTATGGGCCATTTTGTTGTGCAAGATCAAGAGCTGCTATTTTGGGATTTTAAAAAATCACTGGTGTAAACTGGTGGCGATTTTATGGAGCTTTCTTTACGATTTTCATTGAGACTTGCAAAATTTAAGGAAGCGGTATTGGAAAAAATAGACGGCTTTTTCGAAAGTTCAAAATTTGCTCATCGATGACCTATAAAAAAAATTATGACATACTTCACTAGCTGAAATTGTCTTTTAGTGTGAATTATGGAACAAATGTAGTTTTATATGTGGTACCAAGGTGTGAAAGTAATACCACTCTGTACTGGTATCCATGGAAACAGCCCCTATAACTCCCTAAAACTTGTTGGCAAAATGATGTTTTATCTTTACCTTGAAATGCAAAATGTTCCTTATTGTAGGTCTAAAACCATGGAAGTAAACAGAGGACCTGTCCCAGAGTCCCTACATCTTTTTGAAATCTGAAACAATGGTGAGGAACTGAAATACCTCCAAAGCCATGGAGGTAAAAGAACGCATGACCCTTGGGGCTGATATCCTTGATCTCCTTTAAAAGGGCAAATTCTATTGAGTCAATCCTCTTAATTTAAGGAATACATTTCTCGGCAACTAACAAAACATAATGGCAAGAAGAGACAACAGAGAAACAAACAAATTCAGGAAATCTTACATTTTTCCACCAGGCTTCAAGGAATTAAAACATCGTTCTAGCAATGTATTTTTATCTTCAATATGCAGAAACACCAGCCATGAAACAAGAAAATCAAATTTTCCATCTCCTGAAAGTAAAACGGAATGACATGTAGAGGTACATATATCATGTTTGAACAGTTAGAACAAAAACACAATGACTTACATTTCGACTTTAAAATGGATTGTTCCCAGCTCTTGCCTTGAATCATTACTAACCATTCATTGTTTTCTCTCAATGGCTAACCTGGTTTATTAAACAATCTACCGGGTTCTCCAGATCTTCTACCATAAATTAATTCTACCTTTCCAAGAAACTATTCAAGCCAATTCTAAATCAATTTAGTCTGACAAAACAGCTGATATTGCGATGCCATCACTGGTTTCTCCCCGAAATGACATCTGAGGAACGAGTACAGAAATTCAATACTGATGATGTGTCACTGCCCAGATCTGGGTAGAGCTTCTGATTGGTTAAAAAATTACTTCATCTTATCAGAAGCACTGCCCAGATCTGGGAAGTGTTTTGTCATCAGTATGCAGCTTAAACATGTAGGATGATGTCAATATAACATATGAAAGGTGTACTCAAGAAGTGGGTTACAGGGAGTGAGTCTCATTGTAAACTGTAGTGCTGAGGATGAGGAACTTTTTTCACAGTCTAAACTAAGCCATCACCTCCTGCTAAATGGCCAAACTTGTACCAGAGACACATAATCGGTCTGAGATAAATAACTCATCTAGATATAACTCTCACGGAAAGACTGGAAGACTCAAGGGAAGTTAGATGGGTAGGGTATTCAAGGGCACGTTGAGATATCAGCAGATAAAACTCTCGCTTGATAGATATACCCACCCAAATCCATTTGAAGGAAATCTCCTGTGATATGCTTTAACTTCTGCTGTAGGTTACATCTCTGAGTGAGATTTTCAGCTTCTTTGTGAAGATCATCTTGAAGCTCAATTGCTGTGACGAGGCAGCCTGTTTTATGAGCTAGGTAGCGCGCAGGACCCCCGAGCCCTGAGCCTATGTCAAGAACATGGTGGTTTGAGCTTAAAAGGATAATAAAATAAATGTTATTGGTGTTGCAAATTACATCTAGTCGCAAGGCTCTTTTGGTCGCTCAGATACCAGAAAATAAGACTCTTGATTAGGCAGGTTACAGGCAGCTTGAAAATAAAGGAGCTTAAGTAACAACAGCAGTGCGAGTTCTGGTACTGAGCAGGTGTTGTGTTGCCATGGTGAGAGCCCCTGTCACCCACCAACATTGACTAGGTTCAAACGTCATTTCATAAGTAGGTTGAGCATTTAAAATTAAACATCACAAGAAGTTACTAGACTGTAAACTGCTGCTTATAACCCCCCCCCCCCACCCCCACCCCAATTATAGTCCCATCTACCTGATGAACAAAGAAATTGATTCGATTTTAGGCCAGCTGATGGGGGCCCCCTCCATATGTAATGAATTTGACTATAGTAAATATTTTTTGAAAGATAATTAAAAATGGATTGATGCAAAAATAATGTATTTTGGTCAGTACTACATGTGTACTATTTTATCTTATTTTATTTTATTAGCTTTGCGAAAAAAAAAAAACAAACAAACAAACAGAAGAATGTTGGCAGGGACACTGCAACAGCTGTGGCCAATTATCACAGTGGGCCCGGATACTAATAAAAAAAATAATAAAAAAAAGAAATATCAAAAAACACAGCGATACAAGAAAAACTACTGCTACATACAACAAGTTATTAAACGAGACAAGGGACGAGCACTATTATATTTTATACAGATAGACTTGAATGAACGTGGGTCTTCACAATCATAGGAAACAGCTAACGCGGACTTATAATAATTAAAAATACCCGATTTAAAGGAAGCTAAGATTGATGGGCTCAAATCTAGTTTATCCGCTCAACAATTCCAAATTCTACTAGTTCTAATGAGAAAGGATTTCTGGTACGTACTATAGCTTGTTTTGAAGCGTTTTTTTTAATTCCAAATTTTATAAGCTCCCTGGGATTATAAGCCCCTCCATAAGCCCTCCTAAAGCCACTTACGTATACCAAGTTGGATAAGCAGCATTTTATATTCATGTGCCTTTTAAAATGTTAAGTGGCAAAATAGCGAACAGTACTGTAAGGTTAATTAGCTCTGAAGAGAATTACAGTTTAATTTATTAATTACTTTATTCCTAATGCTTGCGCAGCTTCATCAATGGCTTGTGTGCCATAATAATGCATTTGATCAAACTTGCAAACATCCTCCACTTTTAAGGGGTCTCCATCTTTATATCCCAGCTGCATGGAAAGGAAAAAAAACTGATTAGCCTGTATGTCCTTGAAAAAGCGTGCACTAGGCTGATTTAGCAACAGAAGGGGAACGTCAGTTGACAATGGCGCACGCGAATCAAACAACTGGCTTGACCAATGGCAGAGAGGCAAATTGAGCACCGGAAGTCGTGTTTAGTCCTTTCTGCACGCTTTCCCGTCGTCAACTGACATTCCCGTCCTGTTGCTAAATCAGCCTACTCTCTCCTTAGTGCCAAGTGGCATTTTGTGGAAATAGATGATCTTCCTATCTAAAGCACAGGATCTCTTTTTCTGTTTCCACAGGAAGTGCCAAAGTGAAATCAACTAGGTGGTACACTATTATTGTTAATACGAAGATTTGATAGCAAGAGTGTGTTATTTAAGATTTTTTAACATGAAGTGTGGTTACACTAGACTATTTCATGGCTACCCTTTGGAAAACAGCTTGAGTCGGGCGACCTGAGTTTGTCTTTTTAAATTCACATTTGCGGTAACTAGCCTGTAAATTGCCCATGGGAAGAAAAACCTTGAACTCGTTTTGTCAGTAGCACAGTGCTGTACACAGTGTAAACATCCCTGTAAACATTTAAGACTGACTAATAGCATAAAAATGGGTCCAATCATTTTTACCCTAAAAACGTTATGTAATTCCCCAAAGGACAAAAATGCCTACTAACTGCAAAAACATTTGAATTGCATTTTTGATAATATCCTTTTTTCTCAATGATATTAGTTAACAGGGGGGGAAGGGGGGGTGGCAAGGGTGGCGTAGTGGCGAGGGCACTCGCCTCCCACCAACGTGGCCTGGGTTCAAATCCTGCCATTGATGCCATATGTGGGTTGAGTTTGTTGTTGGTTCTCTCCCTTGCTTCGAGAGGTTTTTCTCTGGGTACTCCGGTTTTCCCCTCTCCTTAAAAACCAACACTTCCAAATTCCAATTCGATCTGGAATGCACCGACACATTTCAACGAGTTCTTAAGAGTTCCTAGTAAGTGCTCTCTGTGGGTAAACAAATTACAATTACAGCCTTCTCGCAGAAACTATTTGCTGGGAAATTCTACTTTTAGCCTTCAATTCTCAGCAGTGGAGGCCGGAGCACTGTTCGTTTAACCCTTCTGAGCCCACATATCCACATACTGATTTTCATACATTTTCTTAAAGAATTAGTTAAGAGAATTTAATTATTTCTTTTGGTAAACTGATCATTTTATTAATTCTCATAGCATTTTCTCTTGATGATGTACAGATATTACTAGAAAAAAAAAAATCCGGGTCTGTTGTTCCACACTTTCTCAAAAAAGTAAAAGAAATCATCCAAAAAAAAATTCTGTGTGGATGTGTTAAGCCTGATGCAGACATCATCTATTTCCCTTGATGTATGTGGAAAAGTCATTTTTCCACATGCCTGCATGCAGTTTGCATGCAGCCTAGGGCATTTTGGGTTTTTGCTAGAAGCCCTTTATTGTCATAGGTCCAAAGTTTTTCAACTGACGCTAAGTCGTGAAATTCAAAACAGTGAAAGTATCAGTTTATTTGGCAATAGACTTAAAAAAATTCCTTCTTTCTTAGTCAAATAAACTCATTTTCTTTTCTTTTAACAAATAATCCATTTTTCATTCAGTACCCTTAAAGGGAACCTCCACTCTTACTACAGAATAAGTTTAAATCGAATAAAATTATGTTGATAAACAAATTTGTTTGAAATTTGTCCTTAAAAAAGCGTTTATATCAGGAAAAGTGAATTTTAAAATCGCTTATTTTCACTTTCAAATTTTGCGGGCGCCGCCATCTTGAATAACTGTGACGTGTTATGGTTGCTCTATTGTTCTGACACAAAGAGCTTTTGTTTAATAACAATAGGGCAACCGTAACACGTCACAATTATTCAAGATGGCGACGCCCGCAAAATTTGAAAACAAAAATAGGTGAATCTAAAAGTTATTTCTTTCGGATACAAACGCTTTTTTAAAAATATTTTAGATTGACTTGACTGTAACAGTTATTTCCTGTGATTTAAAGTTATCTTTTTGTTGAAGTGGAGGTTCCCTTTAACTCACATGGATGGTATACCCTATAGTTATAGGAAGCTTACATTGTATAGTGTATAAGCCCCCAGATTCTATACAGGCTTCCTTGTCATTACCACCTTAAACATCTAATTTTGTAAATAATTTAGTTAGAATAGTTTATATTATCTTAAGTGTATTACAAATTTCTTGTATATTGTTGTTTTATTTATATGTGGTTAAAGGCAAATAAATGAATAAACAAATGAATGAATGAATAGTTTCACTGTGCAGTGTTTTATACAAATCACTAACTGAGGACAGCATCTACTTAGGTTAAAATGTATCAGCCCACTTGCCACTGTAAATGTGGGCATCAAGCTATTTAAAGCCGAGATTGTACAAACACATAGAGTAATAAAACAATTTATATACATTATAATAAAAATGAAACACACCTCCTTCAATTCTTTGTAGACTCTATCAATGTGATCATCTGTGTTAAAAAGATCAAAACAAGCAACAGACATATGGAATCAATTAATCTACAGTAGAATACAGAGAATTCAAAACTAAACTAGTATGTAGTAAAACCCTGTTTTTCACTGAGTTTTGAACGATGACTCACTGGACAGGTCCCGATCTAGTGGCTCTGCTTATGCTGAATGCCCTTCTCCCCTTCACCCTCCTTTAACTACTTGCCAATTTGAAATAAATTTGATTGTGGAGGATATAAAAAGATGGTCATAAGGGGCCTCGGGAGCATTTGACTTTTGACAGGGGTATGGGTGATTTCAGAAAAAAAGGTGCAGACTGATTTCAAGTGAAAAAAATTCTTGCTGGGAAATTCCAAGGAGATTCCAACCCTCCCATTCTGGCCAGAATTAAACCTCTCATTTTTGGCAAATTATTACTGGCCTCTGTTTTCGCTTAATATTCTCCCGGTTTTTAACACTACTTCCTATATCTTTTCCTTGTTTAACCAGTATTTTTTTAGCACGATTCCTTGCTATTTTTCTGTGATTTCTCAGCCATTTTCACCCTTTTAGCATCCAAGCATGAGCCTGTGATAACTTTGGGTGGGGTAATGCACTGATGTGATAGCGGCCAATAGGCAGCTTCAACTGCCTATTTTCCATTGACTGTGATCTCAAAATGCAGAAAATGGCATCTTAGAGGCACATATCTTAAATTTTTTTCCAAGGGGAGCATGCCTTGGAACCTCTGTGCACCTGACGAGAAAACTACTACACTACCTACACTGCCTATAATGGTGGAAAATATGTTACACCATAATTAATTGTATGTCAGGAAATATAATTCTATCACCAAAGGTTTGGGAAACCCAAACCAAATCACCCATAGCCCCCCTCAAAAGTCAAATGTTGGCCCCTAATAGGATTCAAATGAAACATGATTGCCTTACGTGTACCTATAGACATGAGATTGTAAAAATTTAAAAGCAGTGAACTGTGATCAACATGCCAGTCATAATTATTGGTGTAAAACAAAATGTTCCAGTTATAATTTGTGATAGCTGAATAGACCATGCTATTTTTTCCGGAAAAAAATTACTTGCCCATGACCTTTGAAGTCCACAAAGTAAGCAAAGTCCTCCAGGTTCTTTTGGCTGGTTAACACCTATTGTTAAGTACCAACTCATTTAGGTAGTATCCACAATGAATACATCACGTTAATATTTAGTTCTTTTGTCTTCTTCTCACATAAAGAAGACCGTCCAACCATCCCAATCTGATCGGGATTCTCCCGATATTGCATGAAATCCCGAATCCTGACCAATATGCGATCGGGGTAGGAAAAATCCAACTCATTTAAGAAGTATCCACAATGAATACGTCACGTTAATATTTAATTCTTTTGTCTTCTCACATAAAGAAGACTGTCCAACCATCCCAATCTGTTCAGGATTCTCCCGATATTGCATGAAATCCCGAATCCCGACCAACATGCGATCAGGGTTGGAAAAATCCCGATTTTGACTTCTTTTTGGATATATTTTTGAAATAAATTCTTATGACATCTAACAGAGTATACATATGTTTTGAATATATGAAAATCATATGTGTGAACTGCAGAGTGAAGAATTAAATGAAGGATAATCATCACAGTTATATACACAACTGTTGCAGTTGCGAAAAGAAAGCCTGATTCAGACTTGTATGGGATTCGAACCCTTGACCTCTGCGATACTGATAAAAAACCGTACAAAATATAAAATAAAATTGAGGACTTGTACGCAAAGTTACTAACATGAAAATAAGCATAACATTAGAACATTAGAAATAATGTTTCAGAACATCAAGTTTTTAAATTTTCTGGGGCAGCATGTCCCCGACCCCTCTTTCTAGTGGAACATGCATTTATTTGGCGCCTGCGTGATTCATCAACGTGCAGATTAAAGAAACTTCCCATTTTACATAATGAAAAAGGTTGGACACTCTGATCAAGAAAACAGTGTAATTGATGCTTGGCATGAAATACAGTATTATTTACCCCGTGCTATAACTGCCAAGTGGGTAAAAGGAATATTCACAATATTTGTTATCAGTTTACAGTGTAAAACATGTGAAGGACAACCCTTATGTCCCCTTTTTGTAAAGGATTCCACACTCCTTCTCCCATGAGATGTTCTACCCCACCAATAGACTCTCAAAGTCCTTCGCTTTGTCTTTTCTAGTTCTGGTAGTAGGCCCCAGCACAAAAGGACTTTTATCCGCCGCAGCATGTCAAATTTACAGGAGGAATTTTCGTCCTGTAGGTTTCATCCAATAATGAACGGTTTTTATTAATGCGCTGTCAATCAATTCCGATCACACCACATGAAACATGACTTGAGCTGTTTTGATTCATGTTCTAATTGAGATGATTGGTGCCTTAGATCGCAGAAGTGATCTATTTTTTTGTGGGTTGTATTAATTGATTATTTCGTGTTCAATGTCCCCTTCTTATTGCTTGTATTCAAAAACAAAGCCAAGTGCCATGTGTGCTATGTACAGCTGTATCAAGGATGTGATCATGTATGAGTTACAGAAAGCTATTAAACTACAAAGATGTTCGTGAACATCTTGGTGCCACTCAGAGAGTGACTCATGCAAGAGCATGACATTTGAAATTGCCCATTGTGTTTTCACTTTATTACGGTATGACGAAGGAGATGAAATTTCACCCATTTGTTTGGTTGTTGTATCACTCAAAGCACATCTCTTAGCCTTAGGTGTTGATCTTTCGATTTGATCTTTGTTGGCAGCTGAAGGTTAAAAGAGCATTGAGCATGTACATTGGGACAAATTTTTCTCTAACCTTCGGAACTTTTTTGTTAGTTTTTCATTCCCATCAGCAGAGTTTCGGCAAATTATTTGTGATTGCTGTTCCGACTGAATATATCATGACTGATGAGAAATTCCAGATCATTAAAAAGAACAAGTTTTTGTTTTCTCTGCACCTGTTAATAGTTGCCTCCTAATATAGAACAGGATTCTCTGATCTACTAATTCACAGCATTGTTGGCAAACACTGTAGGGAACAGCAACGCGAAATTAAGTTTTAGTCAGCATTCATTCTGTATTTTAATAGACTAGCAAGAGCCGGATTTTCCATGCAGGAAAATTATTACCGAACTGCTTTTATTTTGACATACTTTGACAGCCCTGCCCAGTCTGGACGCAAAACGACGACTTTCTTCATGAGAAACAAGTTGAGCTCCCACTCTCTGTTCGCTTTGCCACCGAAAAGACACCGAAAATACATTGTAAAACATTTCTAGCTTGCGGTTTGAACTCAAGAAAGCTCAACTTGTGGGCAAGTCTACCCCTCTACATGTAGCTATGATTGATTTCACATCACACACAGTCTATCATTGGTTGGGTGGGTCACAGTACACACACAAATGAACCTGCTGCCTTGTAACCGGGCACTTCTGGAATTTCAACAGCTGTTGTTAGGCTAGGATTATTGCCTAATTTCATATGGTGCGGGAGCCTGGCACTACTGGATTTTCCCAGACTTTTCAGTTAAATTCTGGATTCAAAATGGCTTCCAAAATAGAAGGTGAATGTAAAGCAAAGGTCACTGCGTGCAGTTGAAATGATTATTAAGGGCCAGATTACTCCAGAAAGTTAATATTCTATAGCAAAGAACACTCTGTCTTGTTTTACTGTTATAAAGAACTTCAATTAAAAACTTCAAGAAAAGAAAAATCTGATCGGAGACTTCTGTGACTAGGAAGTATTGGAACGATTCTTAAATATTGTTCAACAAAAAATTTGAACAAAGAACTGTCGAGTTTAGCTTTTTTTATGGCGCTGGATAGGACCGAATATTGGGGAATGATAAGGGAGTGGGTGTACCTCTTTTTCAAAACCATAAAATAAAGACTACCAATAAGTGAAACATGCCGGAGTGACCCTGAGTGAAAGGGCAACATCGTATTTGGTTGGCAAGGCTTACATTAGGTTTTCTCCCCGTCACTGTGTACAGTCTCAGTAGAAATCCTAAAGATCAGACTGGAAACAATTCTCACTGAACATAGATAAAAGCACGTATACTTCAGTTTTACTTGAGAGGCATTTCTAGTACGGTAACACTGCAGTTCCTGTGACCAGACTTCATGCATTAAGCAGTAATGCTATAATACACAAGTAATTTTCCTTGGGGGGATAAATTGTGTATAGTTTCTTTGTAAGGCCCCTGCATACGATTCTGTACCTTCCAGTTACATTCCAATTCTAGTAATTTAGATCTACTCAAGACATGTATAAATTCATTGATAAAATATCAAATAGCAATGGCTTACAAGGGCTAATTTGTTGAGCTGCCTTGGAACTTATTGGGTCTAATAGAGCCGCATGTTTACAATTTGGGCAATCACCTTGTAATCACAATCAAGAACGTCACCTACATCATACCTTATGCACTGAGTATAGACTAGCCCCTTATTCTCCCTGCATGTGATTCAAGACTAGGTTTAACTTTAACATACATAACGCCACAAATTAAAGTACCGTATGTCCCACGGAAATCACTCTTTTCCGCGACGGGATACTTAGGTTACGATCGGTACGTACACAGTCACATCTGTGTTCTTGCCCGCAATGATCCTCTACTTTACAGATCCGGGTAGAATTAATCGGAGGATCCTTTGCTGTAGAAAATTTATAATCATCTATGGTTCGAGCGACCTGTTCATCGAACAATTACTTGCACTTGCTGAGTGTCAGCTATAAGTTTAGCTTCAGGGCATGGCATAAATTCTGCATCCTTTCCTTGTTAAGTTCAGGTAGACTCTCCTAGGGAATATTGATCAATATTTCTTCGAAAAACAATGCTTTTGTTCGAGTTTTTGCTCTGACTATCCGCCATTTTGAAACTGGGCTTTCTGAAAGGCCGGGAAAATCCGGTAGTGCCAGGCCCCCGCGGATTAAGAGGCGGTCTTCCTAAAAGCGTTCCACTGGATTTCGGACTCGACACAACTTTTGCCTTCTAGACCTTATATTTTTATCATCAATACTAC